ATTAGCTGAAATGTTGTTGATTTTTTTTCAAAAATATTGAGTTTTGCACTAATTGAATTGCTAATTCTGTATGAAAATTGTCAAACTGCTAATATGAAAATAGGGATAAAAACATAATTATTATAATATAATAGGGGTAAAAATGCATGGGCAAACTTGTCCAGTTATATAAAGGTTAACACCGTTAGGTGCCCTTTACGGAATAGGGGCAAAGTCTCTCTTCGTTTTGTAATCGCAGGGGTAAAATCACACAGTTAAAAAAATAAGAGTAAAAAATTACCATTTCGCTTGAAAACAAGGGTAGAAATACTTAATCCCCTAAAAACTTTATTAAAAAAATCTTTACATGTGCATTTGCCTAATTCCATTCGCGGTCGTTCACCCACGATTTTTCTTATTTGGAAAAAGTAATATCCTTAACTTTCTTTTTTTAAGAAAGTAACTAAGTTATACATATATGTTACGGGATAACTTATTTCTACAACTTATACCTACAACTTTGACAATATAACATTTTACAGAAAAAGTTATCACCATAATTTTTATTATAACTTTTTGATAATTTTTACGTAATTTAATAAACAAACAAATTATACTACATATTTATTTTCGTACATAGTTTTCATATTTGTGCATCCGCGCCTCTAAATTTGTACATCTTGTTTAAGTTGTTTAATTATATGTCCAACTTTACATCTACGTCATTCATCAAGTTATATATCTAAGTTATATAAGCAAGTTATACATAAAAGTTGTATATAATTTTTTGTAGCTTTCTAAGAACTTATGTTGATAAGTTTGTTTCGCAAAATATTATATATAAAAGTTATGCGTATAACTTTGTCACATAGTAAGTTATATGTGTAAGTTACGTACGTAGCTTTGTCACATTAAAGGTATATGTCGAAGTCATGTGACAAGTTATACGAAATTTGTTCCACAAGTTATATATAAAAGTTATACATATAACTTTGTAATTTTCTAAAAAAGAAAGGTCATAGATTTTTTTTAAAAAAAAGTTACGGAATATTTTTTTTTCCAAAAATGAAAAGTCGCGGGGCTGTCTGACCGTTCACCCGATTTTGTTCGCTGTTTAGTGCGTCGGTGCATTTGCCGTGCCTATGGTGCTATGCATAATGGACAACGATCCGCTATAAAACAAGTTGAGAATGTACAATGTAGCAAGTATGGAAAGCATGGCCTAATCAACACCCGTGCACAGTGTGATGTGAGAGGATACCGAATCATGCGACGAAACCTGCTTTCCTTTTTCTTTTTTTTTGTTACTGTAGGTTCTCATGGGTATCCTCGTGCAGATCGGCGCGCGATGATCTAAAAGGCAGCAGCAGCAATGGCGGCCTCCCCCTAATCCCATCGTCGCAGTGTGATGCTGAGAGGATACCAATCATGCGACGTATATGCTTTCTTTTTCGCCCGTGTTTAGTTTCAAAATAACTTTCAAAAAATATTATAGCTCATTGATCGAATTGTCGATACGTGTATAAGCGTTAAATGTAGATAAAAAAAGCTAAATAGGTTAAAATATAGGACCCACTAATACAGTAAAAAAAGGACAACCAACTATCCACGTCTCTTCTCCCCATCTCGTGAACGTCGATGCCGCCGCTTCCGCTCGTTGCCTCCGACACCCGTGTCGCTTCCTCCGACGCAAATCGCCCCAGCAAATCCCGGCCTCCAGCAAATCGCCGCCTCCGCTCGTTGCCCTAGCAAATCGACCCAAAAATCGCCACTTATGCTCGTTGCCTCCGCTGGGGCGTGGACGCGCGCCTGGACTGCTGGGACGGCAACTTCGCCGGCGGCGGCCTTGCTGGGCGTGCGGATGCCCGCAGCGATGATCTTGCTGGGGCGCGCGGACGCCCAGGACGGTGGCATCGTTGGGCGCACGGACAACCTCCCAACTCCCATGGCGTCCGGATACGAGAGAAGCGAGAGAGACGGAGGAGGAGACCGAGAGCGTGACAAACGGAGGAGGGAGAAGGAGTAATATTTGTTTATTACTTATAGTAGCATTATAGGCACCTTTAGCTATAAACTGCTACGTGAACCACTCCTACAATGTTTTAGTCAGCTTATAGTGAATATTTTAATTGCGATGAACTGGTTTATGGCAACATTATGGTTGCTCAGTGCTGATTGACGTGTGGCATGTTGCTACCAGCGTGCATGGTTGAGATCATCTGATGTGATTTGTTAAAGTGGTGATGTCTGTCTCTGTGTTTTGTTGAATTGTCACCGGGACCGGGCAGAGCATCATCACCTTAATAGCACTGATAGGTGATAAAGCACGACATAGCCGCAAAATCAATTATCGGGTACTGATTTTCAATTTTGTCGATAGGTCTGATCTTACTGCTCATCTTCAATTTTGTTGAAGAGCTGATCTTACTGCTGATTTCCACTGGAACAAGGTGATATTGGGATGAGTTCCAGTGGTTATTAGGGACTCCAATATCACCTGTTGTCGCCAAGTGCATAGGTTGCTGCATTGCCTTTCTATTTGTCGTCAAGTAGAGAATGTGGGGAGCTGGAATAATGGCAACACGATGGTCGCTGAGCACAAATTTCCAAATAACATAGTTGTTGATGTGATCTTTTCGAGCTAGGCCTTGTTTAAATCCAGTGTATAAAGCATTAGGGTGTCACATCAGATGTCATATGAGAATGTCGTATGGGGTGTTCGGATGCTAATAAAAAACAAATGACAAAATCCGTCAGTAATCCGCGAAACGAATTTATTAAACCTAATTAATCCATCATTAGCACATGCATGTACTGTAGCACCACATTGTCAAATCATGAACTAATTAGGCTTAAAATATTCGTCTCGTAAATTAATCACAAACTGTATAATTAGTTATTTTTTAGTCTATATTTAATACACTATGTATATATCTAAATATTCAATGGAATAGTGAGTAAATTTGAGAGAAATGAACTAAACATGCCCTAGTCTGTTCTCGGAGAAGTGGGGTACGTACAGTATACTATACTACTGCGGAGTACTCCTTATCATTGAAGGAGAAGGAGCAACGCAGGATCGGCACGTTGATCGACAGGTTGACGAATTGGCTGACCAAAAACCTGAGAGCCAGCCACTGGCATGCTGACAACGGGCATTGGAGTGATATAATATAATATATGATGGTTGATACCACCAGTTGATAGGGTAGTGGTGGTCGTTATGGTCTCTTCCATCTTTTGGGCTCTGACAGCGATCACCCACCAGTCCGTACATTAACCCAGTCGGGCCCAAAGATGGCCGAGTTTCGCTTCCTGGGCCGGAACGTCCGAGTCCTGAAGCCCAACTGTGAAAACCCAGTAGCCCAACTGGGAAAATAAAACAGAGGGATGGAGAGAATGAGAGAGGCGACGGCAACGAGGTGGACGAGTTCGGCTGTCCCCAGTCCCCACCGTCCACCGAGGCAGATACCGTGCATGTCGCGAGGTGGCAAGCCGAGAGCGCGAGACGCGTCGACGACGGCGACACGCGGTGGCCAAAACCTGACGCCGGTCGGCCGGGCAAAGCGGTCATGGCCGATTCAGAGCAACAATGCTGACTGAACCCTCCCCTTTCTCTCACTTTTCTCCTTCGATTTTGTGTGGCAACGACCCGAGCTTCTGTAAAACGATTCCTTCGTGGATCATCGTTGAACAATTTTCATCTAAACACCTAATTGTTGTTGTTTTGACGCACACGATAGGAGATCGGACATCGGAGGGCTCAAAGTACCTCATTTTCTATGATTTCGTCACAGTTTTCCCTGAAAGGGCTCTAGACTGTCGAAGCCTTGTGTACATACAACATTCTTTTGAGTAAAAATGTACTATAAAAAAATTGCACGTCCAAAAAAAAATGCAATTTCTCCTATCAAATTGCTATGACGGTTTCTATGATCATCGGTGAACAACAATCTTTTGAGTTTTATGTGATTTAATACGTTGACAATTCAAATTGGCAAGCATCAGGAGGCAACTATCAAACTGCAAATCGGGCTTTACTGTTATGTAGCTCCTGTCGAAACGATAAAAAATGTAAATATGAAACTCCTAGTTTAGAGTCTAGGTTAAGTTAAGACGATTTGAAGATCCACGCCCGAGGAAACTTTTGTTAGCATAATCTGAGTATAAACTAGATTTTTGGCATGGGACTTAGGCCCCGTTTAGATGTCCAAAAAACCCAAAATTTTTTGCATAGCACCCGTCACATCGAATCTTGCGGCATATGTATGGAGTACTAAATGTAGACGAAAAAAAAAACTAATTACACAGTTGGCCGAGAAATCGTGAGATGAATCTTTTAAGCTTAAATAGTACATAATTGGACATTTTTTACCAAATACAAATGAAAGTGCTACAGTAGGCAAAAGCCAAAAATTTTCGGAACTAAACACGCCCTTATAAGAATTTCAGCTCCTATCGCGACAACCGGGCAAGACCTCTCTATCCTATATATGAAACATAAAGTGCCATAGCCATTTGAGGGTAAATTAATCAAGCCTATCAATACAACTTTGCTTTTTTATCCTATTTTCTCCTTTGTTTTACTTTTTAAATTCTACTTGCAATTTCTCCTCTAACCCGGTAACCCAGAGATGGCGTCCTAAGTTTGAAGGCAATCTCTATCATGTAGAACCACTGAATATCATTGCTTTACATAAAACTTGAATGGCACAAAACTAATATAAGTCAAAGCACAAAATTGCAATCACGTTTCATACTATCAAAGCAACATATATAATGACAAAATATAAACAGTTAAACACTACAAGTTCCGGTCCCTGAGGACTGTGCATCCATTCACAGCAGCACTACTACTTGCTGGCTGCTGTTTACTAGTGCAACCTCTTACTCGTACAAACAAATAAAGAGAAAAAACAAATAAGCCAAAAAAGGAAGTAATTACCATTAACCTATACATTTACCCTCTAATAAATAACCGAGGCTGAGGTCCAGGTCAATCAACTAATTTGATTGATTTATCAATCGTCCCGGCCGTGCGGCAGCATCTTGAGCGCCTGGAGGAAGGTGTTCTTGAGGCGGCCCAGGTGCGGCCGCACGTTCTGCTTGTCCAGGTACGTGGTCTTGAGCGCGTTCCACCCCTGCTTGTGGATGGCCATGGGGTCCCTCAGCACCGGGTGATCGCTCGGGTACTGCTCGCTCAGTGTCGTCTCGTCCAGCTGCACCACGTACTCCAGGTAGTGGACCTCCATCCCCGCCGACGGCTCCGCGAACGTGTTCCGGGCCAGCCACTCCAGCCGCCCGTACGGCACCACCTGCACCACCACGGCGCCGGCCGGCAGGAACACCATGTTGGTGAGCCCGGCGCCGTGGACGCCCACCATCACGTCGCACGAGTTCACCAGCCGCGCGAACTTGGACGTGTCGGTGCTGGTGTCGGGCTCCCCGATCCGCACGTCGAACCCCAGGCTGGCCGCCATGTCCGCCATGGCGCGCTCGTTCATGAAGGCGCGCCCACGGGACGGGCGGCGCGAGATGATGAGCAGCCGCGGGCGGCGACGGATGTCCCACCGGTCTCCGCTGGGCGTGGCCGTGGCGCGCTCCAGCCCGAACGCGTCGCGCAGCATCTTGCGGAAGTCGGCCGTGGAGTACCCCGAGGGGGACTTGGACGCGTCCACGCCGAGCTCCCGGTGGAACGTCGGCCCCACCACCACGCTGCGGTAGCAGCGGACCTCGTCGTCTGCGTCGATGTCCACCACCTCGTGCCGGCTCATCTGCTGGAAGATCTGGATGTAGCGGTTCATCCACCACGACTTGTAGCTGCTGACCAGGAACTGGACCTCGCCGCGGAGCGGGTGCGCCGTGATGAAAGCCGGGATGAGCACGTCCGTGTAGTCGTGGAACGGGTTGCCCGTGAAGCCACCCGTGGACAACACGAACGCGGTGGCCGAGCTATTGACCGTGCACTGCGGCGCCGCGCCGGAGCCGGAGCCAGAGGGGAGCGGCTTGAGGGACCACTCCTTGACGTGGGCGAGCGCGAAGTTGTCGTGCTTCCGGCAGTACGGCTTGGTCTTCCACTCCCGGTCCAGCGAGTCGACGTACACCGTCTGGGTGCTCCCAACGACGCGCACGTCGCCAGCCGCCTCGCAGGTGTCGGAGCGGCGGCTCGTCTCGTAGCACACCGGCTTGGCTGCGCCGCCGCCGCCGGAGTCGGAACCGTCGGCTGGCTTCGGCTGGACCTCCTCCTCCTGTTTCTCCTCTGCAGGGTCAGCGAAATCCCAATTAAGGGTCAGATCTGATCCCCAATCATGTAGCGGAATGCCGCGCTATATGTAGCACGATTCTTCTAGAAAAATCAAGTTGAATCTAAAGAAATGGAAGGTGGAGCTAAGCAGGAAGGAGCAGGTGAGCAGATCTGCACAAACACAAAGTAACCTACCAGCTCCAAATCCTAACTAATCTTATCCAAAGCGAGGAGAAAAAGAAACGGCGGAGGTGACCTACCAGCAGCAGCTTCGGCGGCGGCATCGTCGCCGCCGTCGCCGGTGTCAACGTTGACAGCAACCTTGCTGACCGCCACCGCCGCCGCAGCAGCGTCGTCCTCGGATTTGATGGCGTCTCCTGCGGAGGTAACTGTATTCAGGCAGGCAGCAGGACAAGCAGGGCCTCCCAAATCAGCTCACAACAGCCAGGAATCCGACCGTGCAGAGTAGAGATGCAGCCGACATAAGAGGAGGAGGGTACCCTACCAATTGGGGCGAACCTCCCCCGGATGAGGGAGAGCGCGACGACGGAGCAGAGCATGAGCACCAGGAGAGCCGCATTCCCGAGCCGCCTCGGCTCCCCCCTCGCTGAGCTCCGGGTCTTCATCTCCCTCCCTCCCTCCCTCCCTCCTCTCACTCTCTCTCTCTCCTTGACCGCCGCCGCCGCCGCCGCCGCCTCCTCCTCCTCTCACAGAGACAGAGAGCCTTTATTCTGGGAAAAAGCTTTCAGTAGAAGCAGCTGCGTCGCGCGTGGAGTGACAGCGCAGGGCAAAAATCTGTTGACGAGGCGGCGCTGGCGCATCCGGACACGAGGCACTGAATGAAATTATGGAGTGAGAGGAGTGAAAGCAGCCGGAGCAGCAGGAGGAAGAACCGGCGACCACTAGTCCACACGCCGTCCAATCTGGCGCCGAGATTGGTGAGGCTGCCGACAGCAACGTGTACTACGCAGAGAGAGAGATCAGAAAGGGGAGTGCTTGCTTCTGTCAAGCGGCAGCGGCACAGTGGCCTAGCACGCAAATCGACGGACGGACATCTGGTTTCATCCGCGGCGAGCAGCTGGCCTCCACTCCGCTCTCCACCGCCCACGCCACCTAGTGCTGAAAGCGTTTTGTTTTGTACTGCCGGCGCCTCCACTCGGCGCGACGTTCCGGAGGCGGAGCAGCGTGGATTTGGCGAGAAAGGAAGGTACAGACTCCAGAGAGAGTGGACAGCAGTAAACTTTGCGTTACTGGTGGACGTGATGGCCGTGGCGCGCGTGTCCCCCGGGCATGTGCCGCGTGCCAGACGGTGCGGAGTACCTGAGCACTGATGACACACGCACTACGAGTAGCTCCATTGCCCTGCCTCTGCTCTGCACTAGAGTACTGTACGTACAATACTACAGAGCAGCGATGTGCATGTGGCGTGCTTCCTCGAGCAGCAGCTTCGGCTTGGATTCCGGATCCGGTGTAGAGGTACGGAGTACCACTGTACTACTCTACACGGTACGAGCACGTATCCACGGCACGACGATGCCGGTTTGCTGTGACCCCCTTATCGTCACGACTTTAATTCCCACACAAGGAAAGTCAAAGGTCAACGCGAACACCGTTGAGTATGCCGTGGATAACAGTCCCTCAAACAATCGTGATCGTGTGCTCATAATAAGTGAGCGTTTCTACTCAACTTTAGCGTTACTTCCCCACTTCTCAAACATAAAACGTAGGAATTGACATGGTATGTTTTGTAAGGGCACATATTTTGACTACTAGTTATTCTTATCAGCATATATTTATGGCAACAAGTTTGAGTAAATTTAATATAACGACTTTTATAGTATACATACTTTATATAATTACACTATTCATTAATTAAAAAGAAAAAAAGATCCGAATTTTAAAATAGAGACAGAGAGTACAACATTATCTGTCGGTGTTTTGGACCGGGGGTTCTCAACCAACTAGTGAATTTGAACTGCGTGCCCCTAATCCCGGATGGTGATGCAAAGAGACACAAGGTTTATACTGATTCGGGCAATTGGTGCCCTACGTCCAATCTGAGAGATTGATCTTGTATTCCTTGCACCGAAGTGCCTGTAGTAGGGGGTTACAAGCTGGGCGAGAGAGGGAGCTAGTCCCAGGTCTCTGTGTGGAGCGGTGTGGGCTGCTTGAGACGTTGCTCTCAGGCAGCGGGGGAGCGTGTGTCTGAATCTACGTGAGCCTATGCGTGAGTTCGTCTGTCTTCCTGTCCCTAGAAACGGCCCCGGTCTTCCCTTTTATAGTTGAAGGGGGGACAGGGGTGATACATGTGTTTGCTATGCGGCGTCTTGTGAGCGGAAGTGGCGTGTCTGAGCCCTGTAGCTTACTACTGTGGCGGCATGGTCAACGGAGCGGTCTTGTACTTGATGCACTGGAGCAACGTGCCGGTCACACCTGATCTTGTGCGACGTGGGAGCTCTAGTGATAGCTTGGCGCAGGGCATGGTCGACGACGTGTCGGTCGCTGTGCGTTGACAGTGTAAAGAGTCGAGGCTCAGTTGGTGCCGAGGCCGAGCCATCGTGGGGAGCTCGGCGGGCGCGAATCCCGAGGCTGCCGAGACCCTGAAGTGGATTGCCGAGGCTTGGAGGGAGCAGTTGGTCCTATACACTGATTCCGATGCTATAGTGACCCGGACTTGACTCCCCACACCGTGTTGTTCTTAGAGCAGGAGTTAGGTAGTACAGTGCAGTACGGGCATCAGTTATGGGCACAGTGCCGAGCACAGTGGCCGGTAACCCCTGCCTAGTCCTGTCTCCCGTCCCATCGGCCACTTCGCTGTACTGCGCCGTCGTGCGGCTGACGTTGCGGGAGTGGTTGGACGTGTTAATTGGATGTGATGTTTTGTCAGAGAAGTTGGTCGAGACGGAGGCGACGAGGATGTTGCCGACCCGGCCTTGAGCGAGTCGGAGAATCGGTACTTCGTCCGAGGCCTTATGCGTGGGGCCTCGGGCGAATCGGTAACCCGTCCGAGGCCTTACGGGGCAGGGCCTCGGGCGAGGGGGCCTCGGTGAGGCGGAGAGCTGGTTTTTCGTCTGAGGCTTTTGCGGCGCGGGCCTCGGGCGAATCGGAGAATCGGCCGAGACCTCGTGGTTGTCCTTTGGCTTTGATATTTGCAAGGTCTAAGTAGTTTTTTCGGTTCTCGCTTAGGGTACCCCTTTTTCTGGTATCCGACAGTAGCCTCCGAGCCTTGGAGGGAGTGCGAGCACTCTCCCTGAGGCTTTGTCGAGACTTGGCTTGCAGCCGCTCCCGTCGGGATTGTGTTTTGTACTCGTGGTTCCGGTGGGTGCGCGCGAGCGCACCCGCCGGGTGTCGCCCCCGAGGCCCTGGAGGAGTGGATTTACTCCTCCAGAGGCTTTTTCTCTGTTGAGTGAGGAGTTTTATCGCGTTTGCCGGGCCCATGAGTGCGAGTTCGGGTCGCTGGGCCTCGGCTTAGTTGCAGAAAGAGCCCCCGAGCCTCTGCACAGAGTGAGAGGGCGATCAGTGGTTTCCCTGTCTTTTTTGGCGGCCCTCGCGCATCCTTTTCGTTCGAAAGGAGGGGTGGAGGATGCCAGGCTACCCTCGGTGGGTGCGAGCAGTGGCTCCTCCGGTGAGCTGTTATTGGGTAAGTCCGAGTGGAGGCTCGTGCCCCATTCGATAGGGGTCAGCTAGCGGTCTAGAGACGCACTCCAAAAGTACCAGAGGGCTTCTCTAGTGGGTCCCAGGGCCGTTCAATGGGCCCCGGGGGCTCGGTGCCTCCCTACGGTGGGATCCCATTTGGAGACCTCCCTGTCGGTCTCGGACATGACTTAGGGCATCCCAAGCATTGCTTGCTTGGGCCTTGGCCATGTACGGGCTCGCCCACAGTCATCCCTGACTCTGTTTACCCTGGGGTGGCTTTCGAAACCTTTGGAGGCCCAGCCTTCGAACCCCTAGACTGTAACGGGCTCGGTGCCCTTTATCGCGTTTTCCTGAGCCTCCGAGTGCGAGCTTGGGTTACTTGTCTTCGTCCTGGGTGCAGGAAGAGCCCCCGAGCCTCCGCACGGAGCAAGAGGGCGGTCAGGAGTTCCCCTGGCTCTTTGTGCGACCCTCGTGCATCCTTTTTGTTCGGAAGGAGGGGTTGTTTGCCGAGCCCTCGGGTGCGAGCCTAGGTCGCTGGGTCTCGGCAAGGTCACAGGAAGAGCCCCCGAGCCTCTGCACGGAGCGAGAGGGCGATCAGGAGTTCCCCTGGCTTTTTGTGCGACCCTCGCGCATCCTTTTCGTTCGGAAGGAGGGGTTGTTTGCCGAGCCCTCGAGTGCGAGCCTGGGTCGCTGGGTCTCGGCAAGGTTGCAGAAAGAGCCCCCGAGCCTCTGCACGGAGCGAGAGGGTGATCAGGAGTTCCCCTGGCTTTTTGTGCGACCCTCACGCATCATTTTCGTTCGGAAGGAGGGGTTGTTTGTCGAGCCCTCGAGTGCGAGCCTGGGTCGCTGGGTCTCGGCAAGGTCGTAGGAAGAGCCCCTGAGCCTCTGCACGGAGCGAGAGGGCGATCAGGAGTTCCCCTGGCTTTTTGTACGACCCTCGCGCATCCTTTTTGTTCGGAATGAGGGGTTGTTTGCCGAGCCCTCGGAAGGAGGGGTGGAATATGTCAGGCTACCCTCGGTGGGCGCGAGCGGTGACACTTCCGGTGAGCTGTTATCGGGTAAGTCCGAGTGGAGGCCCGTGCCCCATTCGATAGGGGTCGGCTAGTGGTCTAGAGACGCACTCTAAAAGCACCAGAGGGCTTCTCTAGTGGGTCCCAGGGCCATTCGATTGACCCCGGGGGCTCGGCGCCTCCCTACGGTGGGATCCCATTCGGAGACCCCCCTGCCGGTCTCGGACACGACTTAGGGCATCCCGAGCGATCGCTTGCTCGGGCCTCGGCCATGTACGGGCTCGCCCATAGTTGTCCCTGACTCTATTGTCCTAGGGCGGCTGTCGAGACCTTCGGGGGACCAGCCTTCGAACCCCTAGACCGTAATGGGCTCGGCGCCCAGTTCCTTAGTCTAAAAGGAATCGGGTGGGGGGATATTCCCCTCCCATCGGCTGACAACGGCGGGCGCTCCTTTTAAGCCGGTTTCTCGGGGCCTGCTGTTGCTGTGGTCGGATGCGACGCGGTGTCAGCATATGGGACATAACTGTGCGTGCGATTAATGAGGAAAAGGTGGGCGCGTGGGCGGTTAAGTCGGATCTGGATTAACTGTGCCAGATTTGAGGGAAACTTCCCTGATTTCGTCGCCCGTCTGTTTCGTCCCCTTCCTACATAAATACGTGGCGAGCCTCACCCCTCTCCTCCTTACCTTGCCTGCATTTGCCTTTTCTACCTCTGAGCCATTGCTAAGAACAGAGAGCGCCGGGGAGAAGAAGGGAGAAGGGCGAGAGAGGGAGAGAGAGAGGGCGAGCCTTACTGCCGTAGCCCGCATTCTCCACCGCGCAATGGCCGACGGTGCTGTAGTCCTTCAGGCGGATCCTTGGGGTCCGTCCGACGTGTCCGTGGAGACACTGGAGTCGCTCATCGACGACGGCCTTCTCCACCCGGTCACTGACCCCAATGGGCCGGAGTGGATTGCTCCGGGGGCCGAGTCAGAGCCAAGG